CAGCAGGAAGGTGGTGTCCCTGCCTGCCCACAGGTGATGTTTATTTGAAGTGCCTCTAAATAAAGGCACATCCTGTTATTTTGAGAAACAAACAGCAGTCTCTCACTTAACTAAACATCACCTCTACCAGAGCAGATCTGTTGCTGGACTTCCGAAGCCTGCCAGGAAGACACAGACAAGTGGGAACGGCAGCGTGGCTCCAAGACACCTTGGCAGGCTTTGCCAGGACAGCTCCAGCCTCGGGCTGGACACAGAATCACAGCATGGTTTGGGTTGAAAGGGACCTTTAAAGGCCATCTAGTCCAACCCCCCCACAATGGACAGGGACATCTTCAACCACATCAGGTTGCTCAGAGACCCATCCAACCTGACCTTGAATGTTTCCAGGGATAGCAGAAATGGGATGTAGAGACCCTGGATTGCTGACACTCCTCCTGAAGCGAGGATTATGCTGGCTGACTTCCTGAGACAGCACTCACTGATGCCTGCCTTTACAGCGCAGAGGCATGAAACATTTATTGTAGGAAATTTTATGTGCCTTAGACAGTAGGCATCTTACAGCCACATATTCTCTGGCCCTATCCTTCTGTTGCCATGATACAGACACTCATGGTATTTCTTGAAGTGCCCAGCTTCCCAGGAGAACCATAACACGCTCACAGCAACATAATATTTTTATTATTACAAAAGATTTCCTCAACAAACTGCTGTCTGACATCTCTATGTATTAAACATGGAAACAGCAAACAAACCCATCTAACATTATAGGTTATTTAGTGTCTCAGCTGGTGATTCAGGTAAGTACAACTATTTTCTTTCTCCCCATCCATTCACTTCCTTGACTTTTTCTCCAACCAAAGCCCAAACAAGTTACAGATCGGAAGCAGCAGCTCCCAGCCCCACTGCTCACTGCGCCAGCTCCCGCAAGAAGAGCTGACCATTGCATCACCCGTACAGGGCACTCGTACATTTGTTAAATTCCAGATGCTCCTCATGCATCGAGTTTTGCTACCTGGCTTTTAACAGTCTCATGAGTGAAGAGTTTAAGAGCATACTCGCCATACAGTCATATTAAATGCTTTGTGTTAACAAAATAAACATCTGCTCCTCCCCTGTTGTCGGCTGATGCCAGAGAAGATGCTCACACTCGTGCAGTCACCAAGGTCCAAAAAAAAAAAAAAAAAATCTAAACAAAACTGCCTGTCTTCCTCAGTGAAGATTCACAG